CGAGTGAGGGAAACCAACCAAGCCCGCTTGAGACATCACAGCCAATCTTCTGGGAGAGGTGAGCAGGTCCATGGACATCCGGCAAAGAGGTTTTAGTTGGGATGCGTTTGCCAATGCAGAGGTTTGGATCTTTCGTACATGGGTTGTTTAAAGTCTTCTTGAGGTCTCAACGGAACCCAAATGGGCCATAAAGTTAAATTGGAATGATTCCCCTGAATCTGTGCTGCTCCTCTCATCAACAGAGATTTGGTTCTATGTGTTCTGATCTAGGCTTCCTTAGAAAGCACGAAGCAGAGTCCTGGTCCCCCCCCCCCTTTTATTAAACAAATGGAAATCCCTCTCATTCACATTCAGCAAAGGCCTGGCAAACAGTCTTTCAAAGGAATATTTATGACTACAGACCTTATCTAGTCTTGGAAAGCTGCCATGTAAATATTTTCCAAATGAGATGCTATGCAAGGAAAAACTGGGCACAGAGTCTCTGAGATTCACGGACAGATCTTCACACTCCTGAAACGAATCTAATGACTGAACGAACAAATTGTTTCCTGCAAAAGCCCACTCCCCTTTCGCTCCTCTTTTATGTCCTATGGGAGGGGCCAATCACTTTCCACCTGTGACTTTACTCCCAAGTCGACTGTGATTTCTAAGCTCTTCTTTTCTTCCGGCAGCTGTGCGCATGCGCACACTGGGAACAGGCCCCAGTTGTTCATCTGCCTCACTGCTGTCTCGCTCCAAAGGCAGCTGATCACTGCCAGACAGCTTCGGCCCTGTCTCTGCCTCTGACGCAGAGCCCTCATTCGAGGTTTCCCCAGACTCCAGGACTGGCCCATGCTCCTCCCCAACCTCCTCACTGTCCAACTCTGCTGCCAGTTCCGCTGGCCACTGGTGGGCCACAACAGCTAGCTTCAGATGTTGTGTTCAATTGTATTGTATTTTTTTTTTGGCTTTTAGAAGAGCACGTGTGAAAGGCCCCCTGTAGTTTGCAAAAACACTGTTGCTTAGTATGAAGTATAAAGAAAATTCACAGTGGCTTGTTTAGTAAACCATTGTAAAGTAAATTCTGAAGTTTGACAACTGATTCGTGTTTATGACTGTCGCAGTGTCCCCTTTTGTGACCTTCTGACAAGCAAAATCAATGGGGAAGCCAGATTCATTTTACGACTGGGTTACTAACTTAACAATGGCAGTGATTCGCTTAATAACTCTGGCAAGAAAGGTAAAATGGAGCAAAAGCCCACTTAACAACCGTCTTGCTTAGCAACAGAAATTTTGAGCTGAATTGTGGTCATAAATCAAGGACTATCTGTGCAGGGAAGTCTCAATTAGTACAGTTAATGATCCCACGAAATGGTTGCATTATTTGAATTTTCACTATTCCAAATGATATTTCTTTGGCAAATAGGGAGTTTGGTTCAGCACAATGAAAATAAGCAATGAAAATGCTTACAGATAATTGTTGTATGTTTATTAATAAAGTTCCCATATAACACGACAAGAGAATAAACCATATCCAAAACGTATCTATTGTCTACTGTCCTCAACTTACGACCACAATTGAGCCCAGAATTTCTGTCGCTACGTGAAACATTTGTCCCACTTTATGACTCTTCTTGCCAGAGTTGTTAAGTGAATCACTGCACCTGTTCGTAACAAGGTTGTTAAGTGAATCTGGCTTCCCCCTTGTCAAAAATGTGATCCCATGGCCCCGGGACATTGCAACCGTCGTAAGTTCATGCCAGTTGCCAAGCCTCTCAATTTTCATCATGTGACCACAGGGATGCTGCAATGGTCATAAGTGTGAAAAATGGTCATAGGTCACTTTTTTACGGTGCCTTTGCAACTATAAATGATCACTAAATGAACTGTTGTAAGGCTACCTGTATTTTGTTCTTGGTCTTCAAAATTAGCCTCTTTGCCGAGTTTTTCTTGAAGAGAACTTTCCTTGTCTCCATGTTGCACAAATGAGGATTAAGGTCTAACATCCCATTCACAGCGGTTTATGCATTAACCAATATCACAGGTGTGGCAAGTCTTGTGCTAAATGAATCTTGGCTCATCTTAAACACGGCCTGCTACCAACTTAAAAACTGCACTAAACAGAAGTTAATACTATAAAACCCACACTGATTGTGGCTTAGGTGTACAATAAATACAACATCAGTGGCAAACATCATTGGGTTATAATTTCAGTAGGATAGTAAAGAGAGATAAAATTGGTCACAGCTAAGGATGTGAAATTCTGCTGCAATTTTTTTTTTATTATTCTCTAACATACCATTTTAAGCAGTGGTGGGATTCAAATAATTTAACAACCGGTTCTCTGCCCTAATGACCATGTGGGTAGGTGTGGCTTGGTGGTCATGTGACTGGGTGGGCGTGGCCAACTCAACATCACTCAGGTCGATGGGCAGTTTGCCTTAGCTGTTACAATGTACTAAGGGTAAACCGGAGAGGCAGTTTCTGTAAGCAGGGCAATAAAGATTAGGCTAGAAACAACACCAGAATGTTTCCTTCCTGCCTTCCTTACAGGATTAGCAAAGTGGGGAAAAAACAAAAGAAGATTTCTTCCAACAACCAGTTCCCTGAATCTCTTAGAAAGTTAAGAACCGGTTCTCCCAAATAGGGAGAATAGGGAATCCCATCACTGATTTTAAGTATACATTAACATAATTGTTATTCATCTTTACATTTGTCATTCTTATACATTTGTATTTGTATTTGTATTTG